TCTGTTGCTACAGGAGAAGACACACTACCTGAGACCATGTCCCAGCTTAACATAGCATCAGCTTCCAGCCCACATCCTGCTGATGATCAACAACTGCTCCCAACCTTTCCCTAGACCTTGCTGAGAGTCCCCCTACTCCTGCTCCAGGCCTCGCTGTGAGTCAACCCCAGATTCTTTTCGGAATCCACCAAACTCTCCTAGCCATTCCTCCTCAAGTGTTATGATTTCCTGTTTCCTTTATGATATCTTCATGATATAACTACAGGGCTTATAACCTTGAAAGAAGTTCTTTAACTTCCCACAAATTTATTTATTTCAGGTGTATATTTATTTATTGAGTGTAAGTTTTGAGATACTGCCTGCAATTTACATAAATGCACTCTTCTACTGCTTGTGTCATTACATCAGAACACTGTATATGACATTTCAGAGCAGCATCATTTGGAGCATTAGGTCCTTAGGCACATCTAATTATTTGTGTTCACAAATCATAATAGTAATGTAAATAGAAACATTCATAAGTCTGGAAAAAGTACAACTCGATTCAATAATAATTTTTCTTTGAATGACCCCAGATTTATAAAACAATTTTCTAAGAGGCTTTGAATTTGGAAGACTGGTTCCCTGCTTGATCATAAACACTCAAGGCAGTCAACAATACTGAACATCACAATTATATTGAAATGATTCCATGACAACTTACCATTACTTTTAAATCAAAATTTAAAATAAAGTTGTATGCTTTGTATAACTTTATAAAAAGTGTATTGAAGATAATAGATATTGTTCTTGCAGAAATTTTATATAAGCTGAGTTATGATTCCTATAAAGATTTTAACTTAAATAAGTATTGACGTGAGTCCTAACTGGGCTTTGTGCATGATAATCCAGCAAGCTACTGGTTTACAGGTACCTCTGAATATTGACTGTTATCTAGGTGTGATTGGTGTCATAAATATTTTTCTCAGCTCTGTGGTACCATCTCTGTTTTAAATTGCTCTCCTGAAATTCAGAAATAGTGCAAGAAGTCACCTGTGGTAGTTCATAACTGTAACCCTTGCATTAAGGAGACAAAGACACGTGGGCTTCTGTGGGTTGTCGACAAGCCTAGTCTACATTGTAAGTTCCAGGATAAATAGTAAGATCCTGGCTCAAAAAGAAAGGATGGGAGGTAGGAAGGAAAGAAGAAGGAAGGAAGGAACTTAGGAATGAAGGAAATAAAGGAATAGATGAAGAGTGGGGGGAAGAAAAGTGAGGAGTACTGTAGAGACAGTTCATCAATCAACTGCCCCTTTTTGCTTTTTTTCCTGCTCCAAGATTCTCCTCCATATTCATTATTCTGCATGTGAAGAGCTTCTATTTCAAATTTTCAGATTGGCAAAGTCCTTGGGTTACATCCTGTGACTGCCTACATAAGCCTTTATTTATTTATTTATTTGTTTATTTATTTATATTTACACTGTGAGGTCTGAGGAGAAGCACACATGCCATGGTGCTCTTTTTGAAGTCACAGGACAATTCTGAGAGTTGGTTTTAAAGCAAATATTTGGTTGCCTGATACAGATCAGAATGGTGAAAGATTGTTGTAATGAGGCCACTTGTTTGTTTCCCTGCCTTCCGGCAGCTCAGACCCAAAATATTCACACAGAAACTGTATTAATTAAATCACTTCTTGGCCAGTTACTTAAGCATATTGATAGCTAACCCTTACCTCTAGAATTGACCCATCTCCATTTTTTCATATTTTAACATGAGGGTTGTGTTTCAACACATCTGTCCCCAACATTAGCTCCATGGCTTCTTTCTGACTCCACCTTCTTCCTCACAGCATTCAGTTTAGTTTTCTCCACCTAGCTCTATTCTACTCTATCAGGCCAAGCTAGTTTTCTTTATTTATTAATTGTAATCACAGCATACAGAATAGAATCTCACATCAGAAGAATCATTCATGCCAAGTGATGTTCAGATTTATATTTTGAGAGTGATATTTACTAGAAAGGCCTTCTATAGTAAAGAACAGGTTTGTCTTCCCTCAAGAAGCCAAAGTTAATAAAAGGTAGGTAGGTACTGAAATGAGGCCTATAATGTAGCTGAAGGGTACAATTCCTTGTATTATTTATTCTTTGTACATTTCAGTACATTCTACAGTTTAGTCATTTGAAATAAGAACTCCATAAAAGTGGAAGACTTATATGACAAGAACTTTAAATCTTTGAAGAAAGAAATTGAAGAAGACACTGGAAAATGAAAAGATGTCCCATGCTCTTGGGTAGGTAGAATTAACATAGTAAAAATGGCAAACTTACCAAAGGCAATCTATAATTCAATATAATGCCCATCAAAATCCCAGCAAAATTCTTCACAAACCTCTAAAGAACTACTCAATTTCATACAGAAAAACAAACAAAAAACCCAGAATAGCCAAAACAACCCTGTACAATAAAAATTTCTGGAGGCATTACAATCCCTGACTTCAAACTCTACTACAGAGCTACAGTACTGAAAACAGGCTGGTATTGGCATAAAAACAGACAGGAGGACCAATGAAATCGAATCTTAGACCTAGATATTAATCAACACACCTTTGAACAACTGATTTTCGACAAAGAAGCAAAAAAATTCAAATGGAAAAACAAAGGCATATTTAACAAGTGGTGCTGGTATAACTGGATATCAACATGTAAAAGAATGAAAATAGATCCATATCTATCACTGTGCAGCAAACTCAAATCCAAATGGATCAAAGACCTTAACATAAAGCCATCCACACTGAACCTTATAGAAAAGAAAGTGGGAAGTACATTTGAATGCATTTTGGCACAGGAGACCACTTCCTAAATATAAGCCCAGCTGTAACACAGACACTGAGAGAAACAACTAATAAATAGGACCTCCTAAAACTGAAAAGCTTTTGTAAAGCAAAGGACATGGTCAACAAGACAAAGCAACAGCCTACAGAGTGGGAAAAGATCTTCACTAACTCCACATTAGACAGAGGTCTGATCTCCAAAATATAAAAAGAACTCAAGAAAGTGGTGTTCAAAACAACAATCCAATAAAAATGGAATACAGACCTAAAGAGAGAACTCTCAACAGAGGCATCTAAAATGGCTGAAACACACTTAAGGAAATGTTCAAAATCCTTAGTCATCAGAGAAATACAAATCAAAACAACTCTGAGATTCCATCTTACACCAGTAAGAATAACCAAGATCAAAAACACTGATGACAACTTATGCTGGAGCGGTTGTGGGGTAAAGAGAACACTTCTGCATTGCTGGTAGAAATGCAAGCTGCTACAGCCCCTTTGGATATCGTGCGGCAATTTCTCAGAAACTTAGGAAACAACCTTCCTCAAGATCCAGTAATACCACTTTTAGGTATGTATCCAAAGGATGCTCAATCATGCCACAAGGACATGAGCTCAACTATGTTCACAGCAGCATTGCTTATCATAACCAGAACTTGGAAACAACCTAAATGCCCCTCAACTAAAGAATGGATAAGGAAAATATGGTGCATTTACACAATGGAGTACTACACAGCAGAAAAAAATAATGACATCTTGAATTTTACAGGCAAATGGATAGAGCTAGAAAACATCATTTTGAGTGAGCTTACCCAGAACCAAAAAGACAAATACAATATGTACTCACTCATAAGTGGTTTTTAAACACAGAACAAAGAAACCAGCCCACAAACCACAATTCCAGAGAACGCAGACAACAATGAGGACCCTAAGAGAGACATACATTGTTGAGGGAGCTGCAGGCTGTGTTCCTACCGCCAGCTCCCGGCCACCTGGCTAGCTTAAGCCCCGAAATAACAACACACAAATTGTATTATTTTAAACACTGCTTGGCCCATTATATCTAGCCTCTTCTTGGCTAACTCTCGCATCTGGACTAGCCCATTTCTAATAATGTGTGTAGCACCCCAAGGTGCGCTTACCGAGAAGATTCTAGCCTACGTCCATCCTAGGTCAGAGCTTCATGGCGTCTGCCCGGGAGAGGGGAGCATGGTGTCTGAGCTCACTTCCTCTTCCTCCCAGTATTCTGTTCTGTTTACTCCACCTACCTAATTTTCTGTCCTATTAAGGCCAAGGCAGTTTATTTAACCAATGACCTTCCTCCATCAATACATAGATCTAATCTGCATGGGAAGTAGAAAAAGACAATATCTCCTGTGTAAATTTGGAGCATGGAGACGTTGGAAGAGGATTAAAGGGGAGGGAAGAGGCAGAGAGGGGAACAGAGAAAAATGCAGAGCTCAATAAAAATCAATAAAAAAAATGGTTGGTAAAATGGAACTAAGAAGAAATTTACTGCAGTCATTTTAATATCTAACAAAATCAACTTCAAATCAAAACTGATAAAAAAGTATTAGAAAAAGACTATATATTCATGAAAGGAAAAATACACCACTAAGAGGACTTTATAATTTGAAAATCTATGTACCACACAAAAAAGCACCCAAATTTAAAACAGTAATACTACTATAGCTTAAATCACATGCTGACTCTCACAAACTGATAGTGGGAGACTTCAATACCCCACTGATGTGGGATTCCCCTTTGTATGCTATGAATACCACTGGTTAATAAAGAAACTGCTTTGGACCTATAGCAGGGCAGAACTTAGGTAGGCAGGGAAAACTAAACTGAATTCTAGGAGGAAGAAGGCAGAAAGAAGCCATGGAGCCTCCAGAGACAGACATGTTGAAACTTTGTTGGTAGGCCATGACCTCGTGGTGATGCACAGATGAATGGAGATGTAATAAAATATAAATAAATAATATATAAATATTATAAATAAATAAAGATGTAAGAGTTAGCTAACAAGAAGCTAAAGCTAATAGGCCAAGTAGTGATTTAATTAATATAGTTTCTGTGTGATTATTTTGGGTCTGAGCTTCTGGTGGGCTGGGAAACAAACAAGTGGTCTCCTTACAACAAATTGGCATCCATGTTGTTGACTAAATCCACATAAAACCTGAGAAAGCTTAAAAAGAAATCCTAGTCACAAAATAACAGAGTTCGGTATGGTTTGGTAGGGGCATTTTCTTGGGTGAGCTCTGTTTGCTAGAAGCAAGCAGAGGCATGGCTCCTTTAAGAGAGGTTTTCTTGATTCAGTGGTAGCAGACAAAAAGCCACATTGTTTTGAAACTGCAGCTTCCTGGCCCATGCTGCCAGTGCAAATGCTGACAAGGTCCAGCTATTGAGCATTCAAATGGGTTTTGTGAGCAGAGAGTGACAACTTGCTTAAAGGCAACATAGATCAGCCATATGCTTGAATATGAGGCAATGTACATGGATCTCAGAGGCAGGAAACTGCTCCACCATGCTGGAATGGGTAAGGCAAGCAGGCAGTGCCATATTTCCCCCAGCAGTGATGCTGCTTAGGTTTTTAAGAAGCACTTAGCATTTGAAGAAGCTGTCCTGGTCAAAAGATAATTACAGATATGCAATAAAGAGAAATTCAGGTGGAAAAGGCCTCTAAATAAGTCACAATGTTGGATAAATGTATGTAGGCTAGGGAGAGGAAGATAAAGAGTATAGTCACAGACAGTCATAGATTAAAGGAGTAAAGGTAATAAAATAATTATTAAAAAATAATAGAGTAAAAAAATAAATAAGCTACATAAAGATGAACTATACAAAGAGAGTCTAGATTATGTATATCATTGTGTTGTCTTTGAATTTTTTGACTGTGAAAGAGTTAAGTACAGAAAGACATTTCATTGTATGGGCTGCTAAGCTAAATCAGCATATATATTCTAAAGGTATCATGACTTCCAAATTTGAGTCTAAGAATTTGTTGCTTTGGAAAAGAGGTTATTCTTTTGTTTCCACAGAGGATGAGAACCTGTGGATTCGTTCTAGGCTAATGTGGTTTAATGAACCAAGAACCCCCAAAAGGTTACAATGAACACCCCCAAAAATTACTTCACCCAACAAAAAGCAGGCAGCAGTTTGGAGAGAACTATGCCCAAATGCCCTAAATGATTGTTTATAAATGTTTGCTTACATATAAAGGGGCATATGCTGTAGAGATTTGCATTGGTGTAAATCTTGGTTTATTGATACAAATTTAACATCAATTTTGCTATTTGTATATTTCTGCTCTTGATTAAGGTATTGTGTTTGTACAGTTCCTTTAAAAATGTAATGTATAATTAAGAAATATAGGTTAATAAAAATTATTTATAACAGTCAAGCTTATAATCATGTTAGTTATATTTTCTAGATGTACAAAAATGTATTTTAGATGGATAGGCATTCTTCAAACCTTTCAAAGACTACAGAATATGGTATTTAAAATGTTTTAAGAATTTAGGACTTTTCATAAAAGTGAGATACATATGCGCCTGGCAGTACCAGTGTACTTCAAGAGGATGACGGGCATCAAAGAGTTTCCTTATGAAGTTTACTAGCTATGTGGGCAAGAAACTGTTTTTGCCTGGATTGTTTGACATGCAGGACCCACAGAGAAATGACTGCTGAAATTGCCTAAAGTTGAGAGAGTCCTTTGATGTTCCTGCTTCATGAAAGAGTCTGCCATACATTCTCCAGGACACACACAAAAAAGTGACTGACAAACAGCCAATATAGGTGACTAGATATTGGTTAAGTCTGGTTCTCTCATGGAATATCTTGTTTTGTCTGTCTACGATGATTGAAAGTTTTTCTTTATTCTGTGTATGCATGCCTTACTCTCCTGTTTTAAACTGTGAGACATGATTAATGTTCCATGTATTGTTTTCTTATATACACCTAACTGTCTGTATTGAGTCATAAATGTTCCCAAGATTAGGAGCTGTAGTTAGTAACTCCAGATAAGCGATGTGAGAAGCATTAGCCCCCAGTTGAAACTTAGGGGAAAATATTCAAGAAAGACCAGAATTTCCAGGGAAAATTTTGGCTATTGCATGTTTGACTAGCAAAGTAAAACTAAACACCACCCAAAGAATTGCCACTGTAATGAAAGAGAAAGAGCCTGCAAGCTACATGAATTTTGCAAATTGCTACACTGTCCTATGGACTACTGGTTCTTTTGAAGCAAGAGTCCATTTTCATGGTGTCTTGCAGCGAGGAAACCTGTTGGACAGGTAGTCATATGCTGACCCAAGTCTACAAGTCTCCCAAATACTCCCTATGACATTGTGGAGGACAATCACATCCAGGCTAGCACATTTCACTCCCTCTCCACCATAAGCTTGCAACAACATCATAAATGCATTTAGTCTGATTTCAGAAATCACCATAGTCTATCACAGTCTCAACATCGACTCCACTTTTAGCTCTGTGCTGCTGGAAGCTGGTCCTCTAGGCAGTGAATACCTGGCATCCAGTAGTAGGTATATTAAAAGAATAATTATGAAGACTGTCTGAGAGAAAAGAGTCAACTCTTTGAGGAGATTGTCCAAGAAGAAGGGGCAGTCCCCAATCATCACCCACAGATCAGATCTCACTCATTGTGCTTGCAGTTCCTTAACTACTGATGGTCGAATAAAGAAGGGTGATGGGCGAGTAATCTAAGAATCCCCTTATATTTTTTGTTTTTTCTAGTGTCGTGGATATCCGTGAGCAGGTGTGTGGGTTCACATGGGTCCGTGAAATGAAGTCTCAAGATGCCTGAGAATGAATTTAGCCTTTGCAGCCACAGGGATCCCTAGCCTCAGTGGACTGAAGCACTTTCCCTTCTCCTAGGGTATTTTTATTTTTTCCCATATTTACCCATTAACCAGTTGATTTCCTTATGCTCAGAACAACCTGAATGAAGCTTCCAAAAATACAGTGCCAAGTGCAAATACCTGATTCAGAAGGTTGCTGAGGTTTTCCAGGTTGTCCCCTAGCCAAGTTTTGCATAGGCTTTATTTGAGAAGTACTTAGACATGATTCACATAGGGTGACAAAAGGTATCTGTCACACAAAGGATGGATTAGAGCTAGGAGCTAACTTCAAGGTAGGCCAGGTGTGGCCCAGGCACATTAGGCTAACTAACTCTCTGGTGCCAGGCCAGCAGGAAATTCTGCTATACCCTTGTGTTTGTCTTTCCTTCAGGATGGGTCAAGGAAAGAGTCTGGAGAAAAACGATTCTCCATTGATATTATTAAACACACGCTTAAGAAAAAAAGGAACTGATATCAGCACTGGTCAAATGACTGTTTTTTTTTTTTTTGTTGTTGTTGTTGTTGTTGTTGTTTGTTTGTTTCTACAGTCAGTCCCTGGTTTCCAGACCAGGGGACTTTAGATATAGATATTTGAGCTACAGTAGGATCAAATATTACGAACAGGTATACAGAAAATCGAGGGAAGATCATGTCTCTTGCAGCATTTTTATTTGGGGTGTGCTTAGACAGGCCCTGACAGGTGATAAAGAGCCTCAGTGTGCTCAGGAGCCCTTTGCTCCCCCTCCTCATGAGGGAGCTCCATTGTTATCTCATTCGGTATCTAAGGAAGAGGCAGCAAGGTATTATGATCCTGATTGGCTTACTCTGTGAGGCTGGACTGTAAATCATTCCACAGGACTCTAAGAGAAATGTAAATGGAATTGATGGGATTTGCTGTTGCCAGAGCCAGGCCCATCAGCAAGGGAATCACTGGAGAAAGAAAAGAGTTAACTTGCAAAATGCTTCTGGGTGTGGGAAAATAGTCTGGAGTGACTTCCCAACCAAAACAAAGTAAGTCTTGCTAATGGTGTCTGTGGCTCTATGCCAGGCCGCTGACACAAAACTGGAAATTCAAAAAGGTGAATCCCACCCATACCTTAATACCAGCTTCTGGGGTATTTCTACTTACCCATCTCTCCAGCCATTTCCTGCTCTGAACACTTGTGTCTCCCCCTCCCTCTGGGTAAGTGTCACTACAGAGCTCCCTGTTCTGTTTACATTTACAAGAAAAACCACATCAGTGTATCCAGAAGCTTCTTCTAGCCCTACCCAGCTCTCATCACACGGACAGGACTCCTCTCCTCAATAACTCAGAACATTTCTCTCTGACAAGTCTTTCGGTCCCTTTGGAGATGTCTCAGCTTGAAGCTCATTACCAGGACCTTTCCCCTACTGATTCCTCAGGATTCCTCCTAATGTCCTCCTTTAGCTTCCTCCCTTCTCCCTGAGAGCTGCCTACAGTCTTCAGTTCTCATTTAACCCTGAGCGTCTTTCTCCTTGACATTCTGGGATGAACTTTTCTTCCTTTAGCCCATGGAATAACCCTATTTTCACTCATGGTGCACTATAAAAAAGATTAATAAAATTGCCAGTCTCCCTATACATTGTCTTGATGGTTGAAAGGCTTCATTTCAATACTAAAGAACTTCATTTCAAAAGCATTATTTTTTTAAATGAATGATGGTTTGCTATTTATATTTTATTTTTTTTGTTTGCTATTTTTGTAAGGTAAGAGTCTATAAGACTTTCCCCCATCATTTTATTTTATTTTTATTTTTATTAGGGAAATGGGAGGCTGGGAGGAGGAGGAAATTTGTTTTTTTTTTCTCCTTTTCTCAATAAAAAAAAGTTTAAAAAAAGCATTATTTTTAAGGATAAACTGAACAGGGTTGGAACATGAAGTCCTAGTATTACAAAAGTTACTAACTTACTGCCAACTGGTAAGGTTAATTTGACAACACAAGTTACTGGCTAGTCACCTAATAAATAACCAAATTCTTTCATGTGTTCAGAACTATATTTGTGGTCACACTAACTATTAATGCAATCTATTCTTTACTCAGCCCCTGGCATTTAAAATGTTTAAGCTTCTCACAGTTGACAAAACTACCCCATGCCTTGCTTGCTGCAAATTATGTAGACTTTGGCTCAATCACACCACTTTTTCTGGTCAAAGCAGGGTCAGTCCCCCAAGTGGCTTCCTTACAGAAAAATCTCAGACCTGGATTTGGCAGTCAAAGCCTATGATGCTCTACATGACAACTGAAGACCTACAACCACTTCCCCCCAAAAGACTATGGAGACCACTGGACTCTAAGGCAAACTGTCTGGGCAATGGACATCTTTCATTTTAATTAATACAAAGACCAATTAGATTATATTTCCAGTCACAGTTTATCCTTTTTAAATCTCTGAGAAATTGACTGACTGCAGCTTTAAACATAACAAACACTTTTCCAAGGCTTCAGATTCCTTCTCAATTTTCTTCAAAGGTAAAAATTAGGCCATTGGCCTCATTTCCTGAAGCTGAAGCCAGGTCTACCAAATAAGAAATAAACTTATCAAGCAGATTTCAAAGTAACTTTTTATTATTCCTTTGTTTAAAGAAACTTCAGGAATCATCTACCTATGTGGTCTGATAAATAACTGGATTAAAAAAAAAAGGGTGCAAAGCTTAAAGTTTAAGTTATAAGGATTCAAAAAAATACTTTATGTATAAAAAATGTGATTTAAGGTATATAAGCACAAGTTTACATAAGGTCTGAGAACACAAAGGCTTGATTTATGATAAAAATGATTTAAGACACACAAAAATAAAAAGAAATGTTTCAATTCTCTTCCCCTCGCTATGATCTTGTTATATTGAGACTTCTAAATCAATAAAACTCTGATAAGCTATTAATCTAGCTTTGGTAAACACTGAATATTATCATAGTAATAAGTTCAAGGTTTTAAATTTCTTTTGGTTGTTTTCTAAGTATAGATTTTAAAAATATATTTCTAATTGTGCTAAAATCATCTGCCTAATCTGTATATACCCAATCTTTTGGATAAAGGAAAAAATATTAATGCTTTCAACCAAAATCAATTTTAGGTTTCTAAACTTTTACTATGACTCAAGGACATGATTCTACTGCCTTTTCTACAACATGGATACAGACTACAAACAATAATAATGCTAACATATATAGAACTGTTGCCTCTTTAATAAGAGTCTTATAAGCTTTAGGAAGTCAACTTGGATCCACCACCTTTCACAGGTCAAAACAGACTCCAGATAAGTACCACCAATTAGCAGTCTATTTCATTACCAGCCTATACCCCAGGGGGTGTGACCTCTTCCCCTTCCCCTAGTTTGGGACACCCTTCTCCCATCTGCCAGTACCATGGACCTGGAAATTTCAAAGGTACACCAAAGAGAAAAAATTTCCCCTTAAAGTCCCCCCAGAGGGGCAGCAGCCTCCAGCAGCATGGGGCTTGGAAGGGACCAATGGAAACAGCATAGAAGATTTTTTTTTATCTGGTGAGGGAGGGGAAGAAAGACACTCAGGTACTCTTTTGATGGTTTCCTTCAGAGGTTTTCTTTCTTCTTCTCTTTTATTCTGATTTTGTAATCTATTCTCTCTTTTCTTATCTCCATCCTTTCCAGACCTGTGCTGATGGAGGCTGCCCACCCTTGCACAAAACAAAGTTAAGGAATTGTAAGGGCATACTACCCCTCTGAGATTATGGGGGCCAATTACACACAAACTACCACATGACTCATCACAGATCTTTCGCTGTACAGGAAAAGTGCAATGCAGGATCAGGAATAACAGCATCTGACAGGTTTACCTCTGACTGCTTCCATCCTGAACCGGGCAGGAGAATGAGAAGACTGAGCAATTCACTTTTATCCCTTAGTGATTTCATCTTCACTTAAGTGAGTGTACAATTTCTAGAGACTCATACATGTATAAATCTGTTGGGTATGAAAAACTGAATATTGGGAGTTTGTGCCTGTTAGGAATATTTTCTTTTTTTTTAATATCTTTTTTTTTTATTGAGAAAAGGAAGGAAAAAAAAACAAGTTTCCATGTCCTCCCAGCTCCCCACCTCCCTCCCCCTCCTCCCACCCCTCTCCCCCTCCTCCCACCCCTCTCCCCCTCCTCCCATTCCTCTCCCCCTCCCTCTCCAGTCCAAAGAGCAGTCAGGGTTCCCCGCCCTGTGGTAAGTCCTAGGTCCTCCCCACTCAGTCCATATCTAGGAAGGTGAACATCCAAACCGGCCAGGCTCCCACAAAGCCAGCACATTAAGCAGGATCAAAACCCCGTGCCATTGTCCTTGGCCTCTCATCAGCCCTCATTGTTTGCCATGTTCAGAGAGTCCAGTTTTAACCCATGCTTTTTTCAGTCACAGTCCAGCTGGCCTTGGTGAGCTCCCAATAGATCAGCTCCACTGTCTCAGTGGGTGGGTGCACCCCTCGTGGTCCCGACTTCTTTGCTCATGTTCTCCCTCCTTCTGCTCCTCACTGGGACCTTGGGAGCTCAGTCCAGTGCTCCAGTGTGGGTCCCCGTCTCTATCTCCATCCATCACCAGACGAAGGTTCTATGATGATATGCAAGATATTCGTCAGTATTGCTATAGGCTAGGGTCATTTCAGGTTCCCTATCCTCAGCTGCCCAAGGAACTAACTGGGGACCTCGGCTTGGGCTGGAGAGGCTGTGGAGGAAGGGGTACCCTCATCCATTGCTGGTGGGAATGCAATCTTGTGCAACCACTTTGGAAATCAGTGTTTCGGTTCCTCAGGAAATTCGGGATCAACCTACCCCTGGACCCAGCAATACCACTCCTGGGAATATACCCAAGAGATGCCCTATCATATGACAAGAGCATTTGTTCAACCATGTTCATAGCAGTATTATTTGTAATAGCCAGAACCTGGAAACAACCTAGATGCCCCTCAATGGAAGAATGGATGAAGAAAGTGTGGAATATCTACACATTAGAGTACTATGCTGCGGTAAAAAACAATGACTTCTCGAATTTTGCATGCAAATGGATGGAAATAGAAAACACTATTCTGAGTGAGGTAACCTAGACCCAAAAAGATGAATATGGGATGTACTCACTCATAATTGGTTTCTAGCCATAAATAAGGGTCACGGAGTCTACAATTGGTGATCCTAAAGAAGCTAAGTAAGAAGGTGAACCAAAGGAAAAACATATAGGAATATTTTCTTAAAGCGAGCTTTCTGCAGATGCAAATAATCCCAATTAAGCCAAATCAGACCAGATTAAAAGATATCCAGGTTTAATTAGACACCTGCACTTCTGGGTGGCCCCAAAGGGACCAGGAAGTCATCAACATGACCACTGGAGAGGAAAAGGGAAAGCCACGTGTTTATATTTTGGTGAGCAGATAAAATAGCCTATAGGATGGTCTTGACCTTTCCTGGGGAGGGGTCAGGGTTTAGTGGGCCACCTTGACCCTCCTTGGGGAGGGGTCAAGGTTCAAGGCACATAGGAGAGGGAGGCTGGAGGCTCGGATTTATAGTGCCTACTTACATTTGTAAGAAAAAGAAAAATAACTGAGTAATGAGAAGCTCTGTTTTTGAGATTTTTTTGTTTTGTTTTCCTGGAAACTACAGGAAATAAACTGTTTTACTAGCTGGGGAAATCGAAAGCTATGAACACTGCTGGGAGGAGTCCTATTTCATCACAACTCTCCCCAGAGAAACAGCACGAGGTCAGACATCTAGCACTGCTCAAATAAGGAACTCACTTTATAACCAGTTTCCTGGTCTTCCTTGTTATTTTGTAGATACTACATTTTCTCAGCGTTTAATGAGATTTCAACACCCTGCTGTGTACTTTTTGAGAGATTTATCTTCCTACACAAAATAGACAAGCCCTATTTCCTGCCTTGTTGAGGATCTACAATCTGGACATTACTGAGAAACTTCCGGGAGGTAAGTTCTACCCTTGAACATAAGGAGTAGCTCTGTGAAACCAACAAGAAGGTAGGGATCACTGTGGGTTCTTCCAGTGCAGGGTGTGAGGGGGGGCAGAGATGCAGCTAGCATTAAGGGCAGGGAATCCCTGCAGCTGGGTTCTAATCCTTCCTTCAAGAAGATGGCAGACACATTTTTTTCTTTACCTGTGGGGCTTGAGGCAAGAAAAGATGCATTTTGGTTATTGTGGGTTGTAAAATAAACTTTCTAAGTTTGAATAAATAGAAAACGATAAAAAGGCTTAAGGTATCTTGGCCGGAGAGAGAGTGGAAACTGGTGGCCGTGGCACATGACTGAGGAAAAAATACAAGGGAGTGATATGAAAAATTACCATGAAATAATATTGAGTGGAAAATGCATCTGCACATGGGGCTGTATTATCTAGTATATCCTAATACTTCACAGCACAAAAGCCAGCAGATGTGTATAGTAAACATTTTCTAAGATTAACAAACACAGTGGTTCAAATATATCCTGTTTTAATAAGCATATTTAACATTTTCTTCTTCTCCCCCTTACACAAGGTAGTAAAAACTATAATTAGTCACTGTAAGAAACTTCCTGTCATCACGAAACTTACTCTTTTTGCTTGGTTATATCTTATTTATTTTTGGTTTTTGACCATACAATGTGGGGGATAAAGGAAAGTTAAATACAAATATACTTCTATTTCTACTTTTCAAATGTTTTACAAATTTTTGTGTCCTCTTGCATAGTACTCCATATGTACTTAAACTTCATAATTTAAATGCTGATTAGAGAGTTATATCCATACTAGAACATATTGATAAGCTTATCATTTATGTTTCTCAAACATTCTAGATACTAAAAGATGTTTTCGCCTTACTCATTCACTAATTGATACATTGTTGTTTTGACCACAAAACTATGGGTTCTCCTTTTGATATTTTTCAAATTCACAGATGTGTGCTCTCACAAATATTGAACGTATATGATTTAAATATGTGTGATATGTATACTTGTGTGAAAATATAATCCATGTTTTACAGAGCTGTGAATGAACAAAATCATAACAAATAGCATGCACAATTATCAGTGGTTAGTTACATTTATAATTAAAACTATTATAACATCTAGGATGAGAAGGTTTATCACATTTTGGTATTTAATAAGAGTTTTTACCTTCAATACTACTAAAGCTCCACCAGTGTACATAAACATGATTTTGTTTAGTTTCTAGTTAATTTTGGGTGTTTTTCACTGCTAAGGGATATTTTATTAACAACCTAAGGGTACATTTCTTAAATAACATTTCACAAAAGTTGTCATTGGACTGGTTAGATCTTTTGTTATGGGCTGGTAAACAGCAGGTTTCTGTTCTGCTTCTGTTAAGGTCATTTCACTGTAGAATGTCTTTATCTTACATCAACAAACTGTATGTCCTCTTTCATCTGCCCCTCAACCATGCTGAGGCACTTCCTCTTCCATTGTTTTTAATCAGGTCTTCATTTTTGTATTTTTCATGAAGGAAGAACTGTATGTTTTTTTCTTACTCAATTTTTTAGTTCTTTGAGAGAGTCACACAGTGTAATTTGCTCGTATTCAACCCCTTCCACATCTCCTTTCACATACCTATTCCCTTCTCTACCGAACCAACTTTGTAAGTCATAAACTACAGTCTGTGATCAACTAACGATGGGCCGTGCCTTTATTAAGAATGGTTCTCCCCCTTCCAGCAACTATCCATTGCCCAAAGCTCATAAGCTGGGACTTTGTGTCCACCACTTCTCATTTCATGCTAAGGTTTCATCTGGCTTAAACTTCTGACGCTACTGCAACTGCTTTGAGCTCACATCTGTGTGCAGCTGTGTTTGCAAACACTCTGTCCCTGTGTAATTATTCACCATCTCTGGGCTCCAAAATTTCTTCTTCGCCATCTTTTTCAAGTTTTCCTGAGTATAGTGGTAATGAGGCACATACTTCCTAATCCCCCCCCCAAAAAAAAGAACCTTGGCAAAGCAACAATAAGATATAGGCAAAACCAAAATTCTGTGCTGTAACTCCAAATTCTGTAGTTCAATGAGTTAGGAGGTTTCCGCACCACAGAACAGTGTCTCAAAATTTCAACGCAGCAGAGACACCCTACTTTCTTTAACAGAATAGCACAGTTGGACAAGGTTATTTAAGATCTTTGGTCTGACTACAAGTTCAGAACTTTCCATTTTTGAACTTTCCATGTTGTCATTAAATAGGCCCACTACCTATTATCTTTATCCATAAATTGGGCAAAAACACTATAGATTTTTTAACTTGGTCATCTAAGAAGGAATAGTTTTGCTATAGATAAGAGAGCAGCAGCTAATGCCACATTCCTTTCTATTTATTGATAGCTAAATGTCCTTAAACAATTTGACTTAGGAACTAAAAATAAGGAAATGCTTTAATAAGTGCTCAAACCAAAAAGACCTACATCAGAGATCTTCCTCTATTTGGGAAACAGATTTAGTTCTTTGTGGCAATAGAACCTGCAGAATTCTCCTCCTGCTACCTCCATGTTTAGAAGAATAGAGGAAGTATCTGGGTGATTTACACTTTCCTCTTAGAAATTACTTTTATTCAAAGAACTGTTTTTTCTCAGTGACCCCAGGTAAGTCTGTTGGACCTAAAGGTTAAATGTTGGAACATCCACACATGAAGACATGTAAAAAAAACCAAAAACCAAAAAACAACAACAACAACAACAACAACAAAAAACTGAGCCCAGCAGACCTTTGCTTTTCATTGTATATATGGAAACTCTTCAATATCACTAGCTAGAAACACCAAAAACTAAGAGCAGTGAGAGCTGTCCTCACTTTTGCAGCCTTCCTCCCCCCAGGGAGAGCACAGTGCAAGACACTCAGGGCTGCACAACTTGAAGTAAAATTAAACCAGTGTCGTTCTCCCCATCTTTTAAACTACCTCCTGTTCTTAGCAGTTCAGGGATTGCAATATCCCTGTCCAGTACCTGAGAGATTTATTCATTTATCTTTTTACTGAAATGAAACTATCTCTGCTTCCTGCTTTGCAGCCAAACTAGGATCTGGCCACTGCTGAAGAAATTTCCAAGAAGGTGAGTCATTCCCCTGCTATGTAGAGTTGAGAACTCTGTGAAGCCAAGGCAAGGGTGGGGGTAATGTGGGGGCAACAGAGGAGATTGGAGGGAGCAGGGCTGCTGGGAGATGCTTTAGTGGCGTTCTGATGGTTCAGTAGGGAAGATGGCAGACATATTTATTCTACACTTATCCCAACAAAAAAGTATTTTGATTAGGACAGATGGTAAAATGACTTTTAAGTCTAAGTATAAGAAAATGAAAAATGAAAAGAAGGCCTTAATGATCTTGGTTGGAGAGTGAGAAGGAATTTGCTAGCTGTGGTGATCATGTGGGTAAAAGATAGGACAGAGACATGAAAGAAGTACCATGAAATAGTATTTAGTGGAAATAAACCTGGATCTGTGGCTGCATTCTGTTGTCCTCTGATATTGCATGACACATAAAACAACTGAAATGTATAGTAAAATAATCTTCAGATTCACACGATCATTTAAGTACAAGTGTTCTTAATCGTGCACAGTCACAACATAGTTATCTATTTCTTGAGATAGTTTCTGTCATCTTGAAAGTTTTTTGTTTTCTTTGCTTTTAGCTTGTTTGAGTTTTTTTTTTTTATTATGTTCTGGTAGAAAATGTAGGGAGCTGATGATGAGCTGATGAGAGAGTTATTTAGGAATATATCTCTGTAGTCTATGTTTAGAATATTTTATATACTTTCCATGTACCCTGTAAAGCCCATAATGTGTCTTTGAACAGAATATTTTAGAAGTTGACTTCAGATGTGTATATCTGTAAGCTTATTTCTCTTGGTATATCATTTGGGATTCTCAAGCATTCTAAATTTTTGCACATGTTCTTACCTTGTTCATTTAGTAATTGAGACATCTACTTCTGTACCTATCAGAATATTGTGAATTTTCTCAAGTCCACAGATGAGTATGCTATTTACAAATACATGAAGAGAATATTTGTGCATCTGCGCACTTTTAAAACAAAACATGCTCCATATTGCTACTTATTATGGTCCTATGAAGAGACATAAAATACTAAGAAATAGCATACACTATTATTGGTATATAAATCCATAATTTAAACTATTAACTCTTTCTAAGCAGAGGTTCCTGTTGTTTTTGTCATCTTGACACAAAATTATCTGAAATGAGCTACCTGAGTAGAGAAAATTCCCTTTTCAAAATTACCTGGGCATATTTTTCATTATTGTTTGATGTGACTTTGCATATTTTAGAGAGGCTTTGAAATTTGGAAGAAATGTTAGGTGTTTTAAAGAGACTGAACATTTAAAGTGTTTATATTTTTAGCAGTAAGGCTGAACACATATTAATATCCAGGATTTGTTGGACATAGATTGACATTGATTCACATATAAGATTTTGTATAATACTGGAAATTCCATTGAGGTTAGGATGATTAGCTCAAATTTATAATCAATAACATTCTAATAACAAAATAAAAGTTATATTCTCGTATAAATGGGACCCACAAAAATTACACATAAACTCAGTTATCACATATCTGGTTGTATTTGAAATAGTTGTGTTTTTACAAGTACCAACCTAAATGAAAAGTTTCTCTTTTAATTTTCTCAGGATGTGCAGATCAGTGTTGTATGATGTACTATTAAAAGTCAGTTTTAGTCTAGTCCTTGAATATGTAGATTACCTATTTTTTAAAATGTTTTATGGCATACAGAGTATGACTTTTTCATAGTACTCTTTATCTTCCCTGTCAATTGTGCCTGTGTGTGATTCCATTCATCCTTGGGTTTCTTTGAGCATGTTCAATTTTTGTTCAACATGTTGAAGATGTTCAATTTTTTCAAAAAAAAAAGAAAGAAGAAACAGTTAACAGGCCTAGAAATTAAAGTCCTATTACACTAAGATCAATATAGGCAGGATTCACAAACTGAAACAACATAAATTTGAGTTAGAAAATTGCATTCATTCCATTCTCTGAAGATCATCAAGGAAGTATATAAATATGAAAGAGCTACAAAGCAAGACACTCGGTCCATTGGGGAATTTTGGAAATTTCCAGAAAGCAAATTCTTAGTTGCTTCTAATTTTTAAATTTTGTTATTTCCTTACACATTTCTGGTATAGGAGGTCCTTCTGTTTATGTGTTGATTTCATTGGTTAAATAATGAAACTGCATTGGCCTTTTGATAGGGCAGCAGCTCAGGTAGGTGGGGAGACAGAACTGAATGCTGGGAGAAAGAAGGGCAGAAGGCAGATGCCATGGATCTCCTGCCTGGGACAGATGCCAGTTAGAATCTTTCCCAGTAAGCCACGACCTCATGGTGATACACAGATTGGCGGAAATGGGTTAGATCAGGATGTGAGAGTTGGCCAAGAAGATGCTAGATATAATGGGCCAGGCAGTAATTAAATTAATGCAATATCTGTGTGGTTATTTTGGGGGTTAATCTAATCAGGCGGCGGGGCACAGTCCGCCGCTCCTTCTACTACACATTTCCCTGATGAGGGTTAAAAGACATACGAATATCATAGTAAGTTTAATTCTACTCCTGCTTAGAAGCATACATTAGGAGGTTTGCAAACAGGAACTATGAGTAGTCCATTCACAGGTTCTCAGTTTTATTAATGGTGGCAGGTATAGGTTTCAACTCATAAAGGTCTTAAGTCAAATCACAAAATAGATGGTTAATCCCATAAGATTCATGCTACTATTGTACCAGTGAGCATGTCTTGCCAGACTGGCTATTATTATAAATACAAGGGATCACCACTGAGGAAGATAAATGATTGTTTTGCTGCTCTACTATTGTGCATAGTATTTTCCAGAATTAAAAACCTATCAAGTAGAGATGAAGCTTCCAGGTGAGTATCAACCTCATTTCTCCATGGTTGGTGACTCAAACTTATGTCATCTGCAATAGAGTCTTACCATCTGGAGTGAAATCAAGAGCACTGGCAATACGCTATATGTTGGGGGTCTATGAGAACTGACTGGTCAATAACTTCAAAAGAGGAAATCCATTCCTACTACTGGGCTTTTGTTTAGCTTAGGGTACTTTGTAGAAGCATTGTCAAACCACTATAGAATAATTTTATGTAAATTCTTTATAGGTAGATGATGTATCATGTAGATAGGTAACTACATGATAGATAGATAGATAGATAGATGATAGAAATGATAGATAAAATTATGTATAGTATGCATTTTAGGAAGCTTATTCAGTACTAGATTTCTATTTTAGTTTTTTGAAACTCTTCTTTCTTTTCCTTTCACTAGCATAGCCTCCCACCAAACATCTCATTTAACTCTTAGGTTTTCAAAATTTATGAAAAGTAAACAGAGAAGGAAATGTGAGAATGCCTTTCTAAACAATGAAGAAGAAATTAGTCATATCATAAAACTTGACAATAGTATATTTTCAAATTTGAAGCATATGATATCAGAAATTAAAATAAGCAAATCAAAAAGGGCGTATTATTTAAGGACTTATGATATATCTTATAAAGAAGAAATATTTTTAATAAATCAGGAAACTATTACCTTTAATATTACCATTTGGGGTAGATTTAAGCATGACTTGTAGTTAGAAATTTTGTCTATGAGTAAGAATCACTAAGTCAAGCCTGAAAGATAAAATCAAGAAACTATTGACATAATTCCACTCACTAAATTCTAGGGCACTACTATGAAAATTATGTAGATGTTTGGGAAATTAACAGTAATATCAGCATGAAGTTACCAAAGAGCACAATCTAAGCCCCGATAGGACAGGATGGTAGTGAGGGTTGTTTGCGAGAACGCCTAGCAGACAAGGCTCAGAGACTCAGAACAGGAAATGCTACTTAAGTCATTGTTCATCCAGGTATATTGTAGAAAGATGCAGTCCATTTTTATATAGGCCACTTTAGAATGGGAAAAATCAGAACCCAAAGGCAGATATCCAGCAAAGGGCTTCACCACCAAATGGGAATGGGAAATGGACCCAAGAATTTAGCACTTGCAGCCCAGACTCTAAGCACTGCAACAAATACACATCTATCACTTTTCTTCCCCTACAACTGCCACTGTCCCAAGTCACCTAGCATGGCTAATGGGGAAGAATTTCCTAGACTTGTTTGTTAATTCTGAAGTTCTACGTCAATTTCACACAGTGGCATGCTTATCTCTCTCATGAAATTATGGATAATATTATTAAGTCGGGTCATGGGATCATACACTCACACGGGTGTATCCTGTTTGGAGAATTGTCTGTGTATGTGTGTAATGCTGTATCTATTTTCATCTTTTAGGCTTCTCCATCATTTTAGAGATAATGAATGACTATAAGAAAATTGTTCTTCTAAAAGGATTACAGGGTATGGATGATTACCAATTTAGGATAATTAAGTCCTTACTAAAAAGAGACCTACACCTGTCTGAAAAAATGCAAAATGATTATGACAGAATTAAGATTGCTGACAAGATGGAAGAGACATTCCCAAAAGATGCTGGACTCAACAAACTGATAGAAATTTGTCAAGAAATTAAAGATCTTAAAAATCTTGTTGAAAATCTTAAAGAAGAGAAGGCAAGAGGTAACAGAGGAATACCCTGGTCATTCATCTTTTCTCCACCCTCCTCAAACTTTCTATTTCCCTGTAGTATCAGAGCTGATAGGTTGCTTTCCCATTGTGTTTCTTAGAAGCTATAGGGGTTGAAGCAATTCAGATGTCAACAAGTTTATTTCGAAAAATCATTTCCTACAAAGGAACTTGATGTATTTCAGGGTAGACATCATTTGCATTGGAGGTTAAAAAAATAAAAATCTGTTGTTGAGATAGATCAGAACATCCAAAATGGTAGAAAAACTAGGAACTAATAAAGTGAGAGTTGAAAAAAATCATTTAAAGCATATAGAGTAATAGAGTATTTATATATAAATAACAAGGTTACACATTTGTTAATATCTTTTCTGGTAACAAATACAATACAATATTGAAGTAGAGATCTATATCATAGACATATGAAGAAGTTTCTATTCATAAAGTGACTGAATTTAATACATATTAGTTATACTGGTGCAGAACTCTGACCCAGAATTCAACATAAGGAAGCCCTGATAGTGCAGTATCTCATTTTACAAGTCTGTGCCAGATTTCCTTTCATTGGTTTCTATGATTTGGGTGTGTTATACCCAAACATGACATGTCAGTATGATAAAAACTGGATTTTTTTTATTTTTCCATTCAAAAATTTACACTTCTTCCCGTCCTCCTATTCCCCTCCTGCTCCCCCACTCACCCTCCTCCTTCCCCTAAAAAGTGGATTTTTAAGAGAACAGTAAGAAAGGAGAAGTGAGAAAAGCTTGGCTGATGTATATGGGTTCAAAACAGGAATTTTCTCATTTCATAGGGAACAAGTAAGGAAAATATCAAGTAATGCAAGATGGTGACTAAGGCTATGTCTCTACATTAAGCTAGTGAAATAAACATTGATATGAATGCAATGGAGAAGAAATAGCAGGAGAACTAGATGTTTCCTTGATCCTCTGTTTTGGTTTATGGGGGCTGTTTTTTTCATTCGTTTGTTGTGATGAAAATTATATCCATCCCAGTAAAAGGAAAAAAACCCATGGGCAAAAAGAGGCAAAAAGCAGATTTTGCTGTACCTACATCGACTACAAGCAACACCTTAGCATCTGATGGAGGGGAGACATCCACAGCTCAGGTGAGCCTGGGGAACAACGGTGGGCTGGCAGCGTACAGAGGTAGTGCATCTTGCCCCTACTCTGTCCATCAAGTACTTACTGCTTTACTAGTTTATCTTCAAGCTTTATCAAAACTTATGATAAGTGAGCATGTGGCATTAATATGTGTTCACTCCTACTAGAGATGCTGTAAATGTGAAAATCAGGTAGAACAATGTCTGTTCCATGTATACTCAAAACCTAGTTTTCACATTCAAAATCAGTTTTGTCCTACCATACAATTAAAAATAGAAAAAAATGTATATATAACTTTCTTCTACCTTTGTTTAATCAAGCCTGTTATCCACACATTTTGTCATATTTATGATCATATTTTGCCTGTCCAGAGGGTGAGTATTACCCCTTCAAGTCCCCAAAACATTCAGGCATAATTAAATTAATAGTAGATTGAGTAACTAGATTAGTAGATTTCTACTTCCTAATAATGAAGACACACTCTGCTCACTTGATACTGAGATTCATTAACAGGCCAATGGATATACTTTCAGAAAAGAAAAAGTATGAATGAAGAGAAGCTTGAAGTGAAAAAGACCAAAAAGTCTAAGGGGTCAGATTTCCCTGACTTTCCTGGAGAAGCCACAGTCAGATGCCAGACTCCAGGACCTCAGATCTCATCTTCGACTTCATTAAACCCTTCTTTGGCTAAGGTACAAGGTTTCTGCCTACCTTTCATTTCTTCAATCCAAATATCAGAATCAGATCTTCATGTTTCTGATCATTTTCCCCACATATCACTAAGATTTAATTAATCAGACACATATAGAAGTTGGATATGATAGATACAGATCTTCATCCAAACTCAGAAACAACACATAAGTAAAGGTGATACAAATAGAATTTTCTGTACCGTAATATTTTGTTGTCCTGGGGACACTTAATGAAACTGGTATTTCTTCTGGCAATGAGGAGTTTAAAGACTTGTCTTCATCCCAGGCAAGAAGAGAGAGGTGAAAATTCCAGTACATACAATGGTCACTAGCAATGGACTGCATATCTCCTCTCTCACACTGTCCCATATCTCTTCCTTTTAAATGACTGACTTGTAATAAATTCTCTTTAACACGAATCAAGGGTACCTCTTTCTTCTGAATTTTCGGCTTTCTATATATTCATTCCAGCTCAAAATCCTGTAAGTGTCCAAAGACACCCATGCTCTGAATTTTAATGTTGGTATCTTGCTCTGTCCTTAATATTTCTTTCCAGAATCCCTAGCCACACTAAGTTAAAAACTGATAGTGTTAACCTGAATAAAATATTCTTGCTTTTTTACCTTATTACCAGTTATGGCACATAACTAATATTTATTTTCCAACTTCACTGTGCATTGTAAGATTATGATTGCCCTATTTTTCTATAGAAACTTTCAGATCTGAGATTTTCAGAAACTTAGAAGTAAGAAGCTGCGGCACATGATGGTTGTCTGCTCTATGCGCCCGTCACCATGCAGTTCGCGAGCAGGGCAAGGGACTGGAGATTGAAACACACAAAGAGTCACAGACAGAGAGACACAGGTCATCCTTGATGCAGGATTGCCCCAAGAATGCCCCCTTTATTGTGTGCAGGGTCAGCTCATATAGAGATAGCCATGCCCGAGCCAAACGCACCAAAAACCATTCCCCTGCCATCAGGAGCTCCTGAGGGTCTCGTGCTCAGAGCAGCTGTAGTCACTCAGATCAGGGGAAAACAAGTTGTTTACCAGAAATTCAGAATCGGAAGTTCACTGTTCCCAACAAGAATCAGCACAGACAAGAAGCGTAAATGAGAGCTGTGCAGTCCAGTTAAGGCTCTAATAGGTGTCTGGTGAGATATAGAGGTCACAGAACAATGTGATAATATAGGTGAAATTAATAATCAATCAGTTTTTGCTTGGATCTAAGTGCATTCTATGAGATGGAATCCATAACTGAAACTGCTATAGCAACCAAGAATCTGAGGCTAGATAGATTACAGATCTGGGAAAAACAAAACCTACTACTATTATTCTGCTTAAGGAACATAGCAATAACACGACTCATAATGACAAGCTGTCATCTAAAGATCAGTGCTTCATTCAGGTCTCATCAGAGAAGCTTCTTCTTTCCGTAGAAGGGAATTTATCACAGAGGCCCACAATGGCCAAAGTGCAGACAGTGAGAGACTTCACAGTATTCATCCCTCAACAGAGTGTCTGCATCAAATCCCACTCCTCAAGATTCAGAGATCTATGTTGAAGAAGAGGAGGAACAATTGTAAGAGCCAGAGATGGTACACGACTTCAAGAAAACAGTCTCTTTCGGACAAACATGACCGATGTACATATGAGCTCAGAGACAGTCTTGGCACACATTTTAAAAACACAGGTTCAAGCTACCTGAAATCCCAGAACAGAGAGGAGGAAATAGACACAAAGTCCCACCCCCATAAGAAGCTATTTTTAGTTGATACCCACTACCAAAAGGATAATCAGTTTTCTCCAATGGAGACTATCAACCATAGTCTAGATCAGGTCCCACAGCTGGGAGTGTTTGGCCAACAATGAAAGAATTCCATATGTATGTATAGCTTTTTTTTGTTTTATTTGGAATTTTTCAGTTTTGTTTGCTTTTATTTTTTGAGAGTGAGAGAAAGAACACTAAAGATTTTGGAGGGTGGAGGATCTGAGAGGAGCTGAAGGAGTGAAATCTTGATAAATATATTTTGTATAAAAATTTTTTAAATAAAAACAATAGAAAAATAGAAATTTTGGGAGAAAAACATATAGTGGAGATAATTAAAGAATATTTGGAAATTTGGGAAAGTGTGCATTCACCAGAAACTGAGAAAAAAGGAAGTGAGCTGTAATTCATTTCATGTTTACTTTTCCCAGGTCTTCACTTATGACTTCCAAATATTTCTGCAATATCACTAATGTTAGTCTCATAGCACACAAAGAATGGGATGATTGATGCCTCTTATCTTTCCTGAGTACTCCCTGGAGGAAACAAAATATTTGTCACAGAGGGAAAAACACAACATTGTCAACATCTATCTCTGGACTCTCCCTTTCCTCTCTCTATCTCTCCTTTCATATGCCCCTCCTTTTTTTCTCACTTGAAGAAATATATTCAGCTGGTTAAGCAAAAAAAAAAAAAAGCAATTTTTACTCACCCCAAACCTTGCCATTTAGATAATTTAAAGGATTTTCTTAGTATTTTTCAGATATTTTTTTTAATTATGTGGAAAATTTACTAGTCTTAACATCTTACAATACTTATTACTTTATTACTTGGGTATTTTTTTCAATTCAACATAACAGGACCATCTCTCCAATTTCCTAAATTAACATGCATATAATTCAATGGCTACATCAGTATTTGTGCATCTTTTTTAAATATTTAATTACAGATTTATTATCTACTCCCACAACTTCAGTCCCACTTTTAATGTATACACTGGAAATTGTTTACATTATGAATTATTTGGTGGGCTTCATAATAGACCACTAATTTATTTTATACATATCCTAAAACTTTCTTGTTAATTTTAATCTAATCATTGCTACTTGCTTACTTATATACACATCACTACCACTAACTATATTGCTTTTTATTTTTATGTTATACCAATTGGTTATACTGATGGAAAAATCAGATCCAAGTGAACACTAATCACTAATAGGTAATAACTGTGTGTGACATGATGCTTGGATTATTTGCATTTTCTTGGGTCTGTAAAGGCAACTCTATCTCCTTATATGCAGATGTCCAAGCTTATAGCTTTTCCTTACTTTGCAAATTCTGTCTTACAGTTAGGCAATCTTCTCTTCATTGAAATACTCTGTATTAGTCTGTGATCTCAGAACACTGCACAGAAAAGAGATTAGAGGCCTATGAATATATCACTGTATTATAAACCTCTGATATTGAGAAAAAAAATCTCTAAACATTGAGGACATGACTCTAACCAATGAACCTCTACCTGAGCCTATTTAAAAGAGGTGGCTGTGAGCCAGTTCATGTTGTTTTTGATCATTTGATAGGAGCAGGTTGGTATCTACAGAGGAGACATACTTTGATTTGTACCCACATAATAACCTAAGAAACTCCAGTTATATGTTTTATATTTACTATTCTCTAATCTAACAATATTTAATTTTCCCATTTTATATTCTTCTGTCATAAAAGAAAAGGATATATTTGAGTTAATGATAATTTCACTTAAGTACTTCAGGCTATTGCTCTCAACAGCTTGTGCTGTGTTCATACTGAACATCCTGTCTCTCATTAGAAAGATTCCTCTGCTTTTCAGGGAGAGTGTTCAAACTTCTGTGGCTGAAGCCCATTGCTTTAACTCATTAGTTTTTTGTTTTATAAAAGAATTTCTCTTTACCTTATCTATAGTACTACAAATACATATAAACCTTTAGAACCAGTATGGAGTTTGAGATTTATTTTATATGAAGGTTAATTTTTATTTGTTGCTAAACTTACAAGTTTATATCCCTGTGATTGTTTAACTCAGAACCAAAAGACACAGACCCCAAGAAAGAGCGCTACCAGAGGAGCTGTTGGCCAAAATGATGCCATGACCGTGATGGTGCTCAATGCAGCGGAGCCATTTGAATATGAGTCAAGAGAACCTGGAGGAAAAATGATGTTTCATGCTACAGTGGCCAGTGTGAACGAGTATTTCCATGTGAAAATTTTCAACATCAACCTGAAAGAGAAATTCACAAAAGGGAATGTCATCATAATCTCCAATTACGTCAAGTTCAGAGGAATCATAGAGATAAAGGAAGACTCCTATGTGATTAAAGCTGAACCCAACGAAAAGATTGAAGTTCCCAAGAAGCTAATCAGTAAAGCAAATGAAACTCCCATGATTTCTGATATTCACAAGAGTGTAGGTGGAACACTGTTTTATGGGTTATTTACATTACACAAGGTAATATTTAAAAACTTGTTTTTGTTTTTTTTAAAACTGGAATCAAATATGATAACTTTCCAGTCACAGTTTAGTGACAATATTGTAGCACAGTATTCTAGACTAGGGACAGAAAATGAAATTGTCCCAATATTAGAGAATAAGAGTGGGTGCCCTTTTCCTACTCCCGAAGATGTCTCTGAAAGAGCTCCAGAAAATGACTTGCCAAGGAATTTATTTTGCTAGTTAAAAATCAATGAGAAGGAAAGGTGCAGGCCACAGGTTAGGGTCATGCCAACAATATCAATTTTTTAGATATACTATAACTATACAACACTCATTTTTTTTCTTTCTATGCATTCTGTTTCTACAGATTCTTTGAAAAGGGGTGAATATTGATTGTGACATATATTTGAAATAATAAATGGATGAGTGACATCCTCACAAATTCAAAACCATTCAATAGAATAAATTTACTCTCTCTGCAGATAGAAGGTTTACTCATTTAATGTTGACTCATATCTTATTCAGTTACCTAATTATTTCTGAAAACCTTAGCAACAAAGAACAATTGTATGAAATTACCTTTAGGGAGTAAGTAAATTTAGTTTTTTCCTTTACAAATGAAATTTTCCTTCACAAATGAAAATATGTACAGATATCTTATTGATGCATCAAGCCCCAAATTCTGATTTTAAAGATTTATTTATTATGTATACAGCATTCTGCCTGCATGTATGCCTGCACACCAGAAGAGAGCACCAGATCTCATCATAGATGGTTGTGAGCCACTATGTGGTTGCTGGGAATTGAACTCAGGACCTCTGGAAGAGCAGCCAGTCCTCTTAACCTCTGAGCCATCTCTCTAGCCCCAAGATTCAGTTTTAAAAAAAAATGACAACCTCGGTGAACTCAACAAACATTTTATAAACTTGACAATTTAAGATTCTTTAGTCCATCTTCTGTTAAAAGCTCCTTTATTTTAAAGCTGTTACTTTATAGCATACTCCTTAGTGACAATGCTTATGAACACAATACAGTGAATTATGAAAGCCAATACAGTATGATTTGGGGACTTTAACTTTCTTGGGCATGATACTGGAAAAAGCTAAGTAAATGAATAGAGTCCAAATGAGTGAACTACTGGAATCTTAGCTGTTCTGGAAATTCCCTATAATCTATTGAATGAATGAATGAATGAATGAATGAATAGTAGAAGAAAATGTCCATTCATCCTTTTATAAGAGGATACAAAGATGATTGCCCGAAGTTTTGATTCCTGAGATTGATCAAGGTGATTTTTTGAGAATCCAGACTATTGAGGAATAGAGAGTAGTAGGAAGCAGGAAGAACATTTATTGTCGTAACACTTCCAGGCAGAAATCCTCTAGATAACCAAAGTAAATCATTGCAGTAATAAAAGAGACTTCTTTGGGAAGACATCACTGAAGATGTCTATATGCTTATATCTGAAACAGGTTTCATGTTTTCCTGTGATTTTTGAAATAAAAAAAAATCCTTTTTACGTGTATAACAAAATGAGAAAACTTTCAGCAAAGGAATGTTAATTTTACTTTTGCAGAAAAAGGTGAACCCAACGAACACAATCTATGAAATAAAGGATGATACAGGAAGTATAGAAGTTGTAGGGAAGGGGAAATGCTATAACGTCAGCTGTGAGGAAGGAGACAAACTGCGACTCTTCTGCTTTCAACTGAAAACAATTGACAAGAAACTGAAACTGGTGTCTGGTGATCACAGTTTCATTAAGGTATGAAGTAGACAGGGAACAGATTTACCAAAGCAGAAATTCATGTTTTCTTTAGGATTCCAAATATGAACTTTTCAGTTTGGAGTATAGATAATTCTATCTCTGGAAGGGAGAATTGAAATAATGCCCTCATACTCATTTATATGGGGAAAATTTTCAAGAATTTATATTGAAGGAATAATCCAAAGACTATTGTATACAAGATGTATGAGGAAGTTAAAATGCCATGCAAGTACATTTGAATAGTGATCAAGAGCAAGAGTTTTGAATAAGTCAGATGTGATTTGAATGGCAGCTTCAACAATTAGGATGTGGCTGGTTCTGGGGAAAGTTTAACTCCTAATCTGTACTTTAAGGGAAGAAATGCCCATATATTTATGAGTTCACACAGTGCTTAGCACATCTTAAGATGTGAATAAACATTATTTTCTTGATTGGGTAAATCATTAGAGAGAGAGAGAGGTCTAGGAAAGAGAAATGGCATAAAAATATACGAAAGTGAGGATCAACACTGTTAATTCCACTACACATGGAAATATCCAACCTACTTAAATAAAGTCATGTTGAGCATGAAGAGCCTTCTCTTCAAGGACCACATAATTGGAAAGAGGTGTCTCAAAATAAGCCAATATGATGAAGACGATGAAGCAGAGATCAACAGCCTTTGAGAAGGCAGAAAGGCCATTGAGTACAATAGACAAGGATGGTTGACTGGTGTTGAGGGAGCTGTGGGCCGCATTCCTCAGCTCGGCTCCCTGCTAGCTTATGCCCCGAAATAATTACACGGAAACTGTATTCTTTTAAACACTGCTTGGCCCATTATATCTAGCCTCTTCTCGGCTAACTCTCGCACCTGGTCTAGCCCATTTCTAATAATGTGTGTAGCACCCCTAGGTGTGCTTACCAGGATGATTCTAGCCTATGTCCATCCTGGGTCGGAGCTTCATTGATCGCGTCTGCCCCAGAGAGGGGAGCATGGCCTCTGAGCTCACTTCCTCTTCCTCCCAGCATTCTGTTCTGTTTACTCCTCCCACCTATGTTTTAACCTATCAGGGCCAAGCAGTTCCTTTATTACTTAACCAATGAAATCAACAGATTGATATATGACACTCCCACATCAGACTGGAGAAATATAAACAATGATTCAGTTCAATAGTTAGAATCTAATAGTATCTCTCATTGTCTCTTTCAAGGTCACCAAGGCTGGAAAAAAGAAAATATCTGCTCTCTTTCCTAACCCAAAAGATGGAGAAACAAGTGGCTACCCTCAAAATTAATTCAGTGCTTTTAACCGTGGAGCTTTTAAAATAAAAACACCAAGCAACTAGAAATAAGCAACAGCTTCAGTCGTACATCCAAGCATTTAAACATTTTGTTACTTGATTTGTGATTATGTATTTTCATTTGTAAAACTCCTTACTCTGTTTTTTTTATGAAAATAACACTTGAATTTAATTTTTCTAGTGTAGAAGTAATAAAAATTTCTTTTGAAAAGGATACCGTCGTTCAGTCAAAGTAGCCAACTACAATATGGGGAAAGATTTTTACTGACTGCACTTCTGAGAGAGGGCTAATATCCAAAATATATAAAGTACTCAAAAATCTAGATACTCCAGAAAACAACCCAATTTAAAATTGGACTAAAGATCTAAGCAGAGTATTCTCAAAAGAGAAATCTTAAATGGCTGAGAAACACTTAAATGTTCAGCATCCTTAGTCATCAGGGAATGCAAATCAAAACTATTTTGAGAATTAATCATTTTTTTCTTAATTTGTATTGCTTTATAAATAATACCATTCAAAATTTCCTCTTCCTCACCTCATCCCATTTCCCTCCTGCTCCCCCACTTCCCCTCCTCCCTCCCCCTCCAGTCCTAAGAGAGGTCAGGGTACCCTGCCCTGTGGGAAATCCAAGGCCCTCTTCCCTCTCCATCCAGGCCTAGGAAGGTGTGCATCCAAACAGACTAGGATCCCAAAAAGCCAGTACATGCAGTAGAAACAAGTCCCAGTGCCATTATCATTGGCTTTTCAGTCAGCCCCCATTGTCAGCCACATCCAGAGAGTCCGGTTTGATCACATGATCCATCAGTCCCAGTCCTGATGGCTTTGATGAGCTCCCATTAGACAGGTCTCAGTGGGTAGACCAACTCCTCGCGGTCCTGACTTCCTTGTTCATCTTCTTCCTCCTGCTCTTCAACTGGACCTTGGGAGCTCAGTCCAGTGCTCCTATGTGAATCTCTGTCTCTACCTTCATCCATCACAGGACTAAGGTTCTATGGTGATATTCAAGATATTCATCAGTGTGACTATGGAACAAGGCCAGTTCAGGCACCCTCTTCTCCACTGACCAGAGTCCTAGCTGGGCACATCCCCATGAACACCTGGGAACCCTTCTAGAGCCAAGTCTCTTGCCAACCCTAAAATGGCTCCCTTAACTAAGATATCTTCTTCGCTGCTCTCATATGTGCCCTTCCTCCATCTCAACCATCCCACTCCCCCAAGCTCTCCCTAATCATTCCCTTCTCCCTTCTCTCTCCCCCTCTCTCCTTCCCCCTACCCCACTTCTACTCCTACATGCTTCTTAGAGGCTAGCAGAGTGTAGGAACAAATGTGGATGGATGAGTATAGGAAACAGATTTAAATATGTAACAGGAATGTTGCACTTATGATCATCCAGTGGGACTTCCAGTGGGAAATTTAGTTACGCAGTGAATAACCTTGGTTACCACAGTCGAATCTCTGCTTCGTTCCCTGAGATACATTAGAAGCCCATTCCCTGCAACTATCTTCCATTTGGCAGGACATGCTGTCAGGAAAAGAGTCTTTTGGATAGATCACATTTGGAACCTTCAAACGTAAAAGGGCGTCCAGACTCAGAGAGACAGTCCTAGCTGCAATCACACGAGGTTTATTGACAGGACAGGAACCAGTGCACTGGGGCTGAAACTCATTTCCCACACAGGGGTAGAGTTCGACACCCCTGAAAAGGGGTATTTAAGGGAAGAAACCATAACCCAATAACCCAAAGGGAGTAGGAAGGGCGTCATTGGAAAATTCCAAAAATACCAGTCATCATTGGAAAATTCCAAAAATACCAGTGATAATCACAAGAGGGTAACTCCCTGTTTCTCAAGATTATTCTCAAGATTATAATCTAACTTTATGCTCAGCTAGTTCCTGGAAAGGAGTCACTGAACCAGCTAACCTAGAGTTTTGGTTCTTCTCTCGCAGCTAGATTTTGTTGGCCCTACTCTTTCTGCTGGGGTGGAGGTCTGAATTTATCCGGGTCTTTCAGCAGGTGGGCAGGTGTGGAGGCCCAAAATTATGGGCATATTTTCACGTTGGTCAAATGTCAAAGTTGGAACTTACTTCTAGTTCCTTCAAGGTCATGAGAGGGAGACAGAAAAGAGAGTTAGGCTGTAAGCAGGAAGGAAATTCTGACTGCCTCATCATCTGGAAGGAGGAGTGGGCGTGACTTGTCTCTTAAAAAGACAGAACAGATCAGTACAGTATGGAGTTTTGAAAACTCAATTCCCTCTGCCAATTAAATATTTTCTTATACAAGACCATATCTACTCCAGCAAGACCGCACCCTTTTTCACTAACTGGAGACTAGGCGTTCAGTGGATCTATGGGGGACATTCTTATTCAACCATCAGAGACATATTGAATGTTGTGCTTTCCTGTCGCTTTAAGGGACAAGCCACGCCCACTCCCATTACCTCTGACCTGCCCACCGCCATCTTGGACCCTTCCTTTTCTGCTTCCTTGACGTGCCTGCTTTTTATTATAAGGAAGACCTGGGATTGTTATGGTTTTGGTCCCTTTAAGAGACAAGCCACACCCATTCCCCTCCCCATCCACTGAGGCAGGCTTATCTTCAGCTTCCGGCTTGAGCTTGCTCCCTTTTCTTCTTCCTCTTGGAGAGGCAGCTTCGCTTCTGCCTCCCTCCCCACTTCTCTGCTTCCCCCTTCTCTGTCTCTTTCTCCTCTCCTCTTCTCTTCTCTTCTCTCTCTCTCTCTCTCTCTCTCTCTCTTTCTCTCTCCCTCTCTCTCTGTCCCCCCCTTCACACTTCCTCCTCCATAACCCCCTGAATAAAATTCAACCTCACCCTGCATGTCTTGTCTATCCATGTTTCTGTCTTCTGCCCGCCCGCCATGTGTCTCCCTGCCTGGAACCAGCCATTGCTCAGGCACCAGCAGCCTACTCTGCCTGGGGCCCACTGCCTGCTGCCACATGGCCCGCCACCACTGCTCTGGGACCTGCAGTCATTTCTGCCTGGGACTGGCTGCTCCCAGGGCCCGCTGCCTGCCACCACATGGCCTGCCGCCACCATTTGGGACTTACAGCATTTCTGCTGCCTACTGCTGCAGGGATCTTGGAACATTTTTTAAAAAAGAACAACATTGAACAAAGACATTTTGTCCATTCTATAGAATGTCTCCTCACTGTAATGGTTGTGTCCTTTGCTATACAGAAGCTGTTTTATTTGTTTGTTTTGTCGAGCCAGGGTTTCTCTGTGTAACAGTCCTAGCTGTCCTGGAACTCACTTTTTAGTCCATGTTGGCCTTGAGCTCACTGAGATTCACCTGCCTCTACCCCCCAAGTGCTGCAATTAAAGGTATGCATCACCACCACCCAGCCAGAAGCTTTTAAATTTTGTGACGTTTTATTTATCAGTTGTTGTTCTTAGTATTTATACAATAAGAGTCCTGTTCATAAAATACTTTCTTGTGACACTGAGTCCAAGTATATTATCTACATTCTCCTTAATAAGATTTGGGTTACTGGATCATATGTTGAATTCCTTGATCCATTTGGGGTTGATTTTTGTGCAAGGTAAGAGATAATGACATAGTTTCAATTTTCTATGTGTAGTTATCTAACCAGCACATTTTGTTGAAGATGCTGTCTTTTCCCCAATTTTTATTGTTGGTCTCTTTCAAAAATTAAGTGTATGTAGGAATATGAGCCTTTGTGTAGGTTCTTAATTTTATTCTATTGATCAATGTGTCTGTTTTTATGCCAGAATCATAATGTTTTTATTCTCTATTGAGAAATAAAAAAATGAAGGAGATAAAGTGGATATAAATAGAAAAGAAAGAGAGCAAAAAATACTCCCTAAGAAACCACCAGCCAGAAAAGTAGGCAAATGATCTTCAAATCTTCAGACAGTAACTCTCCCTCCTCGCCTCCAACTCCAATCCCCCAGTCTCCAATCCCCCTAGTTCTGTAGCAGATCACCTGTTGTGAGCCCCCCTTCCTCCCTGTACACGTCCAGAGGATCAAGCAGATCTTCTCCCATAGCCTTCCTTACCCAGCCCATTTATCTTGGCTAGTTTTATGTCACCTTGACACAAGCTAGAGTCTTCTGAAAGGAGGAATCCTGAATTGAGAGAATGCCTCCCTAAGATGCAGCTGTAGAGCATTTTATTAATTAGTGGTTGATGGGAGGGGACCCGACCCATGGTAGGTGGTACCATCCCTGGACTTGTGGTTCTGGGTTCAATAATAAAACAGGATGAACAAGTCATGAAGAGAAAGCCAGTCATCAGCACTCCTTGAAGGCCTCTACATCAGTTCCAACTTCCAGCTCCCTGCCTTGTTTGAGTTCTTGTTCTGATTTCCTTCAATGATGAATAGTGATCAGGAAGTGTAAGCCAAATAAACCCTTTTCTCCCCAAGTTACTTTGTTCATGGTGTTTTATCTTAGCAATAATAGTAACCTTAACTAAGTCACCATCCCTTTGTCTAAACCACAAAGTCCTGCAGACATTCTTTGGAAACCATTCAGCCACTCCAGCCAAAAAAGCAGATAAACCAGAGAAGCAGGTAGGCAATCTTCAAATCTTTACTCCCCATCCTTTCTTCTGAATCCAGTCCCTAAGTCTTATTTCCAGCTCTGCAGCAGACTACCAGCTCTGGCCCTCCTCTTTTTCTGCCTCCATTCCCAGGGGACTAAGCAGATTCTGGTGAAATACCCACATGAACACCTTTCTTTCGTCCCTCCCATTGAATCCCTCAGCGATCTCCAAACCTAAGTGTCAGCTCCCAATACCAGGAAGTGTATTCTAACTGGAACTCCAGTGGCCACACCTGGGAGGAATTCAGCAGCATTCCCCCCTAGCAGAAATACTCAGCTACCACACTCTTCTAAGAACCAGAGAGGGTTCAGGAAGCAAAGAAAGGAACATCACCCAACAAAGTCAAGAACACCTACCAATAGGGAGAATTACAGCCATCCCAAACCCAGATGCTTAGACACTGGCATAAAACCACAATCAATAACAGCCTGGACAATGTGTCTCCACTAAAGCTCAGCAAACCTACTACAAGTAGGCCCAGAAAATACAGTATCATTGAAGTGCCAGATAAGAGGTTCAAAAGAACCTTTATGAGGTCCTTAAGAGGATATGAACAAAAATCTATTAAGGAAATCTATGTAAAGAGAAATACTACACTGAATTGAAGGGAATAATTCAAAACTTGAAAGTGAA